GAACGACACATAGATCTGCAATGTGAATTAGGATATAAACTATAACATGTTACAGAAACAGTGTTGAAAAAGATTTCGCTATAGTTTCTGTGGATATCTAAGTGAAATATCATATATGAGGGAGATGTGTAAAAACAACATAGCCAGTGGATCTTTTTAAACATTTTATTTTTAATCCCATGGCTCAAACGACTTTCATGGATTAATCTTTGCTTTGAGATGTATTTATGGCATCTTGAGATCTATTTCGATCTTCCTTTAACGAGTTTCAACCTCTGAAGCAACACAGATTTCAGGACAAGTTCTGCGTAATTTACGTTTTGGTGATTTTGCAGATTAATGTAAAAAAAAAAAAAAGGCAACATACCATGTTAGATAAAAGTCTTTCTACTTTCTAATTAGTTATTCCCGAGATCTTAATGGGAGTCTTACGGCATCGAATAGTATTTTTGCAAAAATGTGTAGTTTTTAACAGAGAATTGAAACTTAAGAATGTGGTTGATCAGTTAAATATATATATTTTTTTAACCATCATACACAACAAACATGGTATCGACATCAGATGTACACAAACCTGGAAAAACTTGAAGAAGCCGATCCAGGCTGCTTCCATATACACAGAGAGGACAAAAGAAACAAATAAAACAGCAATAAATAAATAAATAAATACCCAAACAAACAAAACACAAGCCATTGGGTTTCCCAGCAGTTTCAAACTGTATATCATATCATACAGTTCTGCATCTTGTTGTCTGTCCATGAATTTTAGAGATGAGAAGAGTTGGCAGAGTTCCTTGTGAAAAGTGGGAAAAGATGATTTGACTTTAAAAAAACGACATTTGTAGTCTTTTACACTTATCGCATTGTTTACTTCCTGGTTCGGTCAAGGCGTCCTAAAAAGCCACGCCCAGGAAAAACAAACCTCTGTCTTTCCCATCTGTCGCCACCAGTTAATCCATAACACCGGAGGCTGAACGGAGCAACCAAACAAAGCGTTCAAACCTTTTCCAGAACACGAGTCGCAGACTTGAGCAGTTTCTGTTAAACTTACACCAACAAACATCCATCAGCTCCAACAGAATCCAGCCTTGCAACAAATTCACCAAACACCCACCAACTAAACAACACCGCTTCAGCAGCACTGCTGCTGGATTACAAGTTTTGGACGCATTAGGATTAATTTGCCTGATAGCAGGTCAACAAGTCTACACACTAAAGACAATTAATACATTTTTTATTAAAGGCAATTAATATAAATGGCTTTTATTTCAAGATAAAAGCCATCCAACCAAGCAAACTGCAATTGTGCTGTTTGACTGCATGCAATTTAGCAGCTGATGTTGTTTAACGGAGGAAACAGCCAGAGCTTTAATGAGATCTAAATTATTCTGTTTCTGAAGGCAAAACACTTAACTTCCGGTTTCATGTGGAACGTTGATCTTAGTTTCAGGAAGAGCTGATTGTGAAAGGGTTAATTCCGTGTGACCGTGGCTGCAGCGGCCTGACTCTGTTGACTTTGTGCTTTGAGTTTAAAGCTGTAGTAACGTTTTTGAGGAAATATTATTTTCATATTTGTTAAAAACCTCATTATATCCTGAAAGTAGAAGATGAGAAAGACAATTTGTGAAAAAAAAAATCAAGTCCCCATGCCTCTTCTCTGTGCCCCTAATGGCATTTAGAAAAACACTCCGCTCCCGAATCAAAGCAGCCAATCAGAGCCAGGAGAGTGTCATATATGCAGCTCACTCACTGCTGGTGGTTCACTAATGGCAGAAACAAACCAACCTTACAGGGAAATGTATAATTTCTGGAGTAGTACCTGGTCCAAAAACCAAGACAGGTACATAAAAGAAGAAAAGAAAGGCAAGCTAAAAAGAGAGAATTAGACTGAGTCCGAAAAAAAAAAAAACGAGGGTAAATAACGGAGCAGTGCTTCATCGGTGGGGCTGTGAAAGGATTCAAAACTGATCCAGTTAGCCACATCTCTGCCTGACAAGTAAGTATCTCTGCTTGATTTGCTTTATTCTTTATTTTAAAAAGTAACAGCTGTCACTGGAGATGGTGCAAATCTAACATTACTTGTAGCTTGATGCAGCAGAAAAACACTCCGCTTGTATCAATACTTACAATATAAATCATCATTGTAGCCAGATGGTGATTAAGTTTTACAATACCTTTTAACTCAACCTCAGTATAAATATTGGTTCTATAATTACCGTATTTTCCGGATGATAAGTCGCTCCAGCCATAAAATGCCTCATAAAGCAAGAAAAGACATTTATAAGTCGCACCGGAGTATAAGTCGCATTTTTGGGGAAAATTTATTTGATAAAATCCAACACCAAAAACAGACATGCCATCATATATTTTGGATCAGAATTAAATGTATCTAGATTTGGTGAAATAATTTTTTGTGGGCTGCATCTGTCATAAATAAACAGTAAAATAAATATCAAAATGTTTAAATTTGAACTTGAATCAGATGTTTGTAATCCTGGATAAGAGCAAGTATTGTTTCATATGGGAACCTACTAATTTTGTAATAAATTGTTCCTCTTTTATAACAATTCATCATTGAAAAATGTGGTCTACATAATCTACAGAATATATTTGATTGCAAGTTAATTTTCATGAGTAAATATTGAAAATGCAGCAGTAATGCAGTAGCTGTGATCACTCATGTAAGGTGAAGTGACAAAATCATTTAGGGGAAATCATGATGGTTTTCTGCTGGGCAATGAATGTTTTTTTGACATTCTGTTTCAATGTTCAACAATACATTGGACATGATTTACAGTCATCAAATAAAATACAAACAGTAAAACGTTGAGGGGAAAAATGCAGCCACTGTAAAGACTGTACATTAAAATTTTTTAAAGTAAATTCAGGCTGTTATATTAATTTTCTAATTTAGGACATGTTGATAGGCTTTCTTCACTGTCACAGGAGAGAATAAGTGGCCCCTGGATGCCTCAGCCTGGTTAGAATTTATTGCTTCCCACTACCTTCAGTCATTCACCCATTCACAAACTGATGATGGTGAGCTGACCACCACCAGCAGACAGGGGGGTGAAGTGACTAGGCTGACAGAGCAGAAATCATATTTTATACAACACATGTACAATGAGATTAAAGTCAAAAAAGCTGACTCCAAAAACTAATAGAAGTGCAAACAGAGTAAGAAATACTTACAATGTAAACATAAATATGGTGATATTTTAATGACACATATAATGTCCAGATAATTATTCACATTGTTTAAATTAAGTTTTCAATCTAAAGAAACCAAACAGAATGTATCCAGTTGTTGTCTTGCAGCCTTCATCTTTTACAATCATTCGAATCAAACAGTGGATAATTACTTGCATTTTACCTTTAACTGCAGAATTCCTAATACCAAGCATGCATGTCTCAACAATGGGGAGGAAAAACTGCCCATTTTCTTTATCTGGAAGAAAACTCCAGCAGAAAGTGGGTGAGCACACCTATCTGTCATGTCCAACAGGGGGTTTGAGAAGACAGAGCAGATACACACAATAGAGTAATAAGTAATAAGATACTAGGACATGTAAAAAAAAATTGTAATATTTCCTGTCATTTCAGATAACTAAACTGTCATTTTACAGACAGTTTAATGACAAACTTTATGCATGGGCACAAGGCTGGAGGGTAAAAAAACACCTCAGTGAACAGAGACCTGCTTTACAGTGGTCAAGTAGTGATCAGAGGTCTATTATTCATGTGCTGTGTAGATTTGTTTAACTGTTTTAAAGCACAAACTAGATCCATTAGAATACCATATTAGACCAATCAAAAACCGATACTTTAAGTACAAAACTTGTGAAATGTAAGGGACACAAAAAGGGTCAACAGCCTGATAAAGAAGACTGGTTCTCTTCTGGTTTTGTTCTGGGAACGACTGGAAACTCTGGAGATGATGATTCAAAGAAGGATTCTTCATAAAATCAATAAATTATGGACAACCCTGACCATGCTCTTCAAGAGACTGGCTTGAGAATACAGAGAATCTTCAGTCAGAGGTTTCTTCAGAGTCACTCTAATACAGGCTGCTACAGGAGATCTTTCCACCCATCACCCTCTACAATAACTCTGAAGAATCTGAATTCATGAGTTACAACATTTGATTTCCCTTGGAATCAATAAAGTGTTTTTGAATTTGAGTGTGCATTTGTTGCACTCAAAAAACAGACAGGAGTCCTTCAGTTTCTGCAACTTTATTTGCCCCACAGTGTATTTTTTGGGGATTTGTTCTTCTCAGAAGCAGAAAACCGTTACAATGTTTCTTCTTTTTCAGAGCTACAAAGTTACAACTGACCAACTGTAGTGCAATTTTCTGTAATGCTTCTGCAGCTGAACAAAAACAACTGGCCAACTAAAATATATTAAATGAATTAATAGAGTGGAGTGTTTTATCCATAAATAAATAAAAAATAGTAATAATTTAAATAGAATACTTCTAGGATGAACTCAGGCCTCCTCGTATGAATTACTGCATCAGCCTGTGATTATGCACAGGTGTAATGGAAGCTCAGATGGTTTCATAGCTGCCTTCAGGTCATCTGCCTTGTTGGGTCTAATGTTTTATCTTTCGCTTGATCTCTTGACAACAGCCCACATATTTTCCATGTGGTTAAAGATCAGAGGAGCTTGCTGGCCAATCAGAACAAGAACACCATGGTCACTGAATCAGCTTTTACTGATGGCATGGCATCCAAAGACATCATTGACTGTGGAAGCTTCACAACTGCCTTCAGACGGCGTGGATTGTGTGCCTCTCCACTCTTCCTGCAGACCTTGGAATCCTTGGTTTTCACATGAAATGCAGAATTTACCTTAATCTGAAATCAAATTAAGGTAAATTCTTAATCTACTAGGACATGTAGATTAAGAACTAGACAGTTGCCACTGGGCAACTGTCTAGTTCCTTTTCTCCTCATCTAAGGTAGGGTGCCTGACACGAAAAATTATGATTCCTGGTCAAATCAATTCTATTTATTGGGCTCATACAATTACATTTATTTAAATCAACAGTTGCTGACGAGGGTACAAAACGTCACTTAAAAGACAGCAATTTTTATTTCCCAATCTTGGGGACAAAATGACCAAAACTGGAAAAAGTACAAAACGTTTGAAACGGACAATTCACAATAACTCTTTTTATCACTTTGAGCCAAATTTGTTTGAGTTGTTAAAACATTCAAGATAAATTGTTTGTGCCAGTTTAAGATGTGCTTGGCTGGCAGTCCTGAGTATCTTTATTGCTGCTTTTGTAGTCTTTATGCACATCAAGGTCACCATACAATGCCTCTAGTACATCCAGAACTCTTCTTTGAACTGAATCCACCTGCTCAGCTGGGCAGTATTCATCCAGACTAGACCTGTCAACACAAGACAGACATTTCCATTCACTCCTTCATTTTCTCTCCAATCAGATCTTGTGGACCAAGTGTTAATCTTTACCTTGACATAGTCACCAGAGTCGGTGTGGGCAGAGCCTTTAGGACAAGCTGCACAGCAGAAACCAGTCCATCAATCTCCTCCTCGGTACTGATGTGGTGCGGCAGCTCAACTGAGTCACAGGTCAGGCCTGCTTGGTGAACCTGAGTCGTGCAGTGATTGGTCGAAGTAGGAAAAAAATGCAATAAAACCAGATTTAAAGGTTAGGAGGAAAACAGCAGCGAACAAAATGTTTTGACACAGATTCCGTCTTTTATCCTGATTGTCCATGTCTGTCAGTTTTTAGACAGTAGTTCATCTTTTTAAATCATGTAATGGGTTTCATTGTGCCAGTGACATTTTAAAGCGTTTAAATCCTTCCTTTACATGTAAATCCTTCACTAATAATCTGTGTAAATTAGAATTGCAATGCATCATTGAGGCTCCACAGACCCTAGATTACTCCTGTTTTGAGGCTCGTTTTTGAGCAACTTGTTTTGCTGTGTTTTTTTTTCTTAATTTGAATGAGACGTTTCAGGCCCCGTCCACCTCCAGGTCACAGAGTGTTCCACTTCACCCCAATTTTTGTAGTTTCATAGCAGCGATTCAATTATCCACTGGCAGAGAAACTTTTTATTCCCAAGTTTATTAAAGATGTCAACAATAGAAGACTCGTCTGTCTAACCTTACATGTTGGAGTTGGAGTCTGACCCAAAGCAGGAAAATGAACCTGCAGAACCACATATTCAAATTACTGTATCGCAATGGTCAGGACCACCCCAGGGAATAAGTTGAGTGGCTGCTTAGGACCCTGGGGCTACCAGGAGGCCCCTCTAAGTGAAACAGATTTTTGTCATTATTATTATTTTTAGAAATGATTTCTTTGTGTTTATAGAAACCACATGAACACACTGTCATGATAAAGTTATAATTTTTTCTAAAAATAATTTATATAGCACTTTTTCAGCAGCAAGGCAGTTCAAGCAATAATATATATTTGGTCATCATTCGTTTTATGGCCAAAAAGAAAACAAACTGCTCTTGGCTGCCTTCTAATGGCTCTTCATTTGACAACCATCCAGCACCCCCCCCCCCCCCCATTAAGTCAAAGGTGTAGAAACTTTCATCAACATCTAAAGATTTCTTCATAAAGATATCTTTACTTGGTTTAATCATTAAAATCTCATATTTTAAATCACATTTTTGAAAAGTCTTACCAGCATTGGGACTCTGATATACAGTACTTTAAGCTGGTTGGACCCATTTTCTGAAATAATTCAGCTAATAATTATTTAACTTCCGTACTTTGGGGATGCCGGGGACAGATCATCACAGATATTCAGGATATAAATATGACAGAATTATAAAAACAGAATGATATGATCTGAAAGGAAATATGCCCCATTCTCTCACAGCAGCATACTGTACATACTTAATTTTAATACAGGCACAATATACGTACTATTGAACCATTATACAGACTTTAAGTACATGGCAGCTTTATTTATGTTAAGCCTCATGTAAATGAATTTGTATTGGAATGGGAACATGGAAGGCAAGGTGGTAAACAGCAGCTTTAGAAAAATTAGAAGAATTCTTACCATATTTTGATGCTTACCATTTCATAGTCAGGTGAAGGATTTCTTGCCTTCAAACTGGAAACCAGTTGGCCTAATGAAGACATGCTAAAAACAAATAAGTAAAGTAACACACTGACTGTTTCAAGACACAAGAGATGATTTTTAGAGTTGTGTACTGAAGCATAAAGATGACGTTAATAATGCAGCAGCTGCCAGCATGCGACATGCAGCCAGAGTTTGGTCTCTTAGTCCAACACACAGATAAAAATATAATATAGTAAGCTTAAGATTGGGAGCAGTTTTAAGAATGAACTTTTATACTTAAGATTATTCACTGTGTAATTGGTACTGTACAAATTAACTTGTTTTGCCTATCTATCAGGGTGAGGATGAGAAATGTGTGGACAAAAAAGTAAACATTATTTGACATGCATAATAAATTGTACAAAGCTGTCATCATTCAGTGATATGCAGCTAAGCTGCAGACATTTTCTAATGACATAAAAACAGAGGAACTGTACCCTGGTTTAGATGCCAATCGTGTAACTGTCTGTTCTCCGTCATCTTCCAGGAGATCAGCGAATGCTGCCTCCAGGTCCTCTAACTGATGTATACGGCGATCAACACACTCCTCCAGCTCTGCCTTCAGACACAAACACAAATATACACATAGTGTGCCTTTCTATCTTCAACGGGACTTCTATCTTCTATAGCTTAACGCTGATTCTTATCCTTACTGTTGCCTGTACATGCCTAATCCTAACCTAAATGTAATTAAAATCTTAGCTATAAAAAGTCTATACAAATGCCAGGTTTTCATGATGTAAAATATGATGGCAATACCAATAATTTCACAACTTTTTCCACCTTTAATGTGACCTATAATCTGTATGATGCAATTGAAAAACAAACTGAAATCTTTAAAAGCAATAAATACAAAATAGAAAATGTAAAATAACCTGGTTGCATAAATATGCACAACTTAAACTAATAGCATCACCTTTGGCTTTTATTACAGCACTCAGTCTTTTTGGGTTGGAGCCTGTCAACATGGCCCATCTGTATGAGGCAATATTTGCCCACTCTTCTTTGCAAAATCACTCCAAATCTGACTGATTGCAAGGGCATTGCCTGTGAACAGGTGAGCCCACAGTTGTTCGATGGGAGTCAGGTCTTTATTCTGATTTGGCCATCCAAAGCTTCCACCTCATTCTGGTATGGACATTCTTTTATTGTTAGATGTGTGCTTTGGATCAAGTTCCACTTCATCTTTAGCTCACTGACAGGAGGCCAAAGGTTTTGTGCCAACACTAACTGGTACTTGGAACTGTAGATAATTCCCTCCACTCAGATTGAGGCCCCAAGTCCAACTGATGAAAAACAGCCCAAAGCATGATTCTGCCACCACCATGCTTCACTGCAGGAATGATGTTCTTTTGGTGATGAGCAGTGTTGTTTTTGCACCAAATATATATTTTTGGAATAATGTCCAAAAAGTTCAACCTTGGTTTCATCAGACCCTAACACATTTTCACACATGTGTTTGGGAGATTTCCAAACATATGCAGAACACGGGAGGTTGTTGTTACATCTAGTACACAGCTTGTACTTGACATAAGTTCCATCAGCTCCTTCAGTGTTGATGTCAGCCTGCTGGCAGCCTCCCTGACCAGTTTTCTTCTCATCTTATCACCAACCTTGGATGGATATCCTGTTCTTTGTAATGTCACTGTTGTGCCATATTTTTTTCCACTTGATCATGACAGACTTCACTGTGTTCCATGGTATTTTTAATCATTTTTAATTCCTTGGAAATTCTTTTGTCTTCATCTGACTGATATCTTTGAATCATGAGGTCTGTCTGATGCTTTGGAAGCTCTGTGGATCATGGTTTATTCTGGAAGGTTTGGCTACAAAGATCTCAGGAAAAGCCTACCAGAACAGTACATTAATATTGTTGTTTCTAAATGAATATGAACTTGTTTTCTTTGCTCATATATCTATAAAGAATAAAATCAGAAAAACTGAACATTTAAAGTGGCCTCTTAATTTTTTCCAAATCAATATTACATAAATTACTTCTTATCCTACAGTTTAACATAAACGAATACATTTTCCTGTTACAAAGTTTCACAATTTTTCTGTAACAGACAGGAAACAGTTTCCTGTTACAGGAAACTGTTAGACAATTCTAACCTGATCAGCACCAATCCTTGGTTCTCTGAAGTAGTAGAGCTTCTTGAGGATGGAATACTCTTCCTGGAAAAGAATTAAAATTTATCAGATAGTTTGAAATTATGCCTATGATTCCAGAGTATACTAAGACCATTTTATAGGTTACATTTATAAGAATAGCATAGACACACTCAGAGGTGGCCCTGGGCGAACCACCTAGTGGCGCCCCAACCCCGCCTTCATCCACCTCACCGAACCCTCCATAACCCCCTACATGAATGTACATCAATGTCCAAGCTTGAATTTATAAAGAATTAACCCCATGTATTTATTATATGATGTGATAAATACATGATGTATATTTATCACATTATGACTGATGAGATAAATACAGGTTCCTCTGATAACTGATAAAGGTAAGAACAACATTTATAGACGTTGCAATTTTTCTCTAATGCCAATGACAGTTGAAATTGTTATTTTCCACAATGAAAACCAGATTTTTGTCTTCTGGAAGAGGCCTATGTCAATTTCAACCAGAATCTAACTTCTTGATCGAATAGGAAATGTATTAAATGTCAGTCAATACCCCAGGCAAAAATTATTAATGCCTGGGGCATTAATAATTTTTTGCTTGATCATGAGGTCCATCTGATGCTTTGGAAGCTCAAAGCATCAGACTTGATGCTTTGAGCATCTGCAAAATAAGGGTTGCAGATGCTCAAAGCATCTGCAACATATATTTATAATATTATAAATATTATTTATAATATTTATTATAAATACATATTTATTTAATTATAATAAATAAATATTTATTATAAATAAATAAACAAGTATTTATTTATTTACAAAAGTGTTATTTGGAAACACAGATCAACTTGTTGGAATAACAACATTCAAGCATATATGAGATACCTGCGTGTATATTTCTTTAAATGGGTTTTTACAGGAGAAGAAATCCAAGTCAATGTCTAGGATGTATGGATCTGTTTCACTGAGAAATGTAGCTAATCTCCTAACAACGTAACTAGTTGATCCTTCATCTTTATCATCATCTCCAAAGTCTGTGCAATTGCTGCTAATCTTTCTCTGTAAGTTGCTATCCTCTGTTAGCAGCAGTGAAGGAGTTGTTCCAGATGAAGGTTCCCCATCCTCACTCAGATCTGTCCGACCTTTTTTGGATAAATGCGTCACAGAATCTCTCTCAGTGTCATGCCCTGAAATCCAGAGTCAGATGAACAAGGAAACGTCAAAGCAAATTATGAGAAGTTAAATTATTTCAACATTTACATATTAAAATAAAAATATAACATTTATTTTCTAATATTTATTTGGCTTGACAGAAACTTATTGGTTATAAAAAGTAACAAAATAAAAAAAAAATTGACGACAATGAATAAGCTCTAAAAATGTTCCATATTTGAAAGACAAAACATAAAAAAGCTCTTTTTTAAATGTGTTTGTAAAATGTGGCTTTTAAAACATGCAGACAAATGCATATGTGGATACATTTCAACAGCATTAGCCTTGAGTCTTCCATTCATACAACAGTCAACAGCGAATTAAAGTTCAACAACATAGCTTTGAGTTTCCAAAGTATTGGGTGGGAATCATTGTAAAAAGGTGTAACTTAACACTGAAAGAAGAGCTTTAAATTTACCATAGAACACACACAAATAAAAACTTTAAGTAGGAAAATGTGGGGTCTGGATTACTTTTTGACATGGAACTAAGATGAATGACTTTAAAAACAATTCAAAATACCAATGTCCTAACCCAAAACCTGACCATGAAAAAGGTCTTCGGTTCCTTAAGCACATCCTAGCAAGTACAAGCATAAATCCAAACCAATAAACATTGTTTTCACCAGAAGATTACCTACCCTAATTAATTTCATTATTTTGTAAAGAGCAAGTCAAATTCCAAAACGCCTCTGTTTTTAAATCTGTGATGACACCAGAAAAAAAACTGTAGACAAACCATGCCATATTCATACGGATTTGTGACAGGTAGTGTGGGCAAAAGTTCCCAAGTTGAGGCATGGCAAGCAATCTTAGACTGCGTTCACACTGCAGCCTGAAGTGACCCAAATTCGATTTTTTTTTTTTTTTTTTTTTTTTGCTGGAGCCGTTTACACTACCACGCGTATGTGACCTGAATGTGTTCTGCAGACTGAACGGGCAAACGACCTGACAGTGTCCCGCATGCGCAGTATTTCTCAGTGTTCTACCCTAAAAAGAAGAAGCGCTCAGTGTTTGCGGAAGTAAACATAACGGTATTTGAAGTTGTTGTCCAACCGAAGCAGCATATTAACAACTTAACCCTCATTGCGGTCCGTCAAGATTGTTGTTGAGTATCAGTGACGTTCAGTTCAGATGAATGCAACCTGAACGTTAGGTTTGAATCATTTGAATCTGATATGCAAGTGGTTCAAAAGAATCCTAACTGTTATGTCAGACCGTCATGAAAAGGTCAGATACATTATGTCAAAAGAAAAAATCTGAATTGAGTCACTTCAGACTGCAGTGTGAACGCAGTCTAATTCCTGCCATATAATTTTATCTAATTCTCATGAACATATTTGTTTACTTTGCAGTTGAATTGTATGGGATTGACATCATATTAAAAGCACAAAAAGTTTAAAATGGTTTATCATGTGTTTTTATTTTATTTTTTTACATAAGGTAAAAAACATCACTGGCTTCTCAGCAGGCTGCTATGCACTTTTAGACCTGCTCCTTCTGCTATCCATAGTTCACATGCTACTTCATATCACAGTCCATATTGGTAACATTTATTTGTAAATGGTTAACAATCTAGAAAACAAAGATTTTTATTCAAAGTTCCTTATTGTATAGGACAGTTAACTTACTAAAAAATATTGAAAGTAAAAGTAGTGAATGTATCACACTGTGCCCATTGAACTAGCTGCACAATTGTTGCAGAATCAGACTGACAAAGTGTGAACCTCCACTGTAACTTTATTTTATGCAAAGCCAACACCGCATGAATGTCAATACTAGTTAGCGATTATAAGTAAGTCAACTAAAGATTGTCACATCTTCCATTGTCAAATCTGAGTAGAAAGCTGGAGATTGTGCTGATGGTATGGAGAGCTTTCAATCTGAATGAACCTGAATAAATTTAAGAGAAATGTCAAAATACCATTGAAGCATGCAAAAAAAAAAAAGAGTATGAATGGCTACTGCATAAATTAGCTGGTCAAAGTTTATGCTTTTTAAGCCCTTACTTTTTAAGCCTTGCTTTTTAAGCCATTATCAGTTGTTTAAAGACATTGTTTATTCATGCTTTCTTTTGTGTCCATTTTGTGTCCATTTCATTATTTTGTAAAGAGCGAGTCAAATTCCAAAACGCTTCTGTTTTTAAATCCATGATGACACCAGAAAAAAACCTGTAGACAAATTATGCCATATTCATACGGATTTGTGACAGGTAGTGTGGGCACCATTTTTAATGGAAATTCCATGGAATTTCCATTAAATTCCATGGAATTTAATGGAAACATGATAACATCGCTGTCCTTAAGGATGGAGTGACTTGAATTAAAATATTTGTTTGGTTATAGTTAAGATGTTGACACCAATTAAAATATTTTGGGAAAACAGAGCTCACAACCACCTAATCTTTCCTATGAAAACAAATTTGGCTCAAATAAAGCTAGTTCAAACTTAAAAGATGTTATCACTTCTTGAAGGTACCTGGAAGTGGCCCAGTTGATGTTTTGACAGGATTTACATTGACTATGTTTAGTCTGAGACGTTTTGAGTTCTCCAGCAGCTCGTCACAAACATACAGACCATCACTGAGGAAGTAGTTCTCTGTACTGGTCAACCTGGAAAATAACAACAGGACAGACATAACGTGACATTTAACCTTCTATTCTTTCAGTTATTTACTAGAGAAACTCTGAGAATAGACGATCTCAAATTTTTACTGTAAAAACTACACAAAGTCTGGTGTTCTGTTTAGCTGTGACAACTTCCTGGAGGGGTCATTGGCTGAACTGCTGTTCCCAACAACTTGATATAGATTATTCTCTTGGCTCTGACTTTCAATGTTTAACCCTATCTCTCTCCCAGACATAACAATAGGCAGAGATTTTGTCACAACTAACAGTTCATGTTCTCTTTCATCCTATAACCTTTAAACCCAGATGTGAGCTTATTTGTTAAGCTGTGTTTCTCTCTGAAGTGAAGCTGCTAAAGAAGCTACATCCAGACGTTGTTAGTTTTCTCTAAGTACTCCTGGATCAGAGCTTCTGTTTTGTGTGTATGCTCTGTATTCTTAAAGACCCAGTAAGGTGTGGCAGATGTTGTTGGAGATGTTGGGAGGTTTTTTCCTGCATGCATGCTTGGCATGAGGGATTGCTGTATAGTTAGTGACGCAAAGCAAGCGGTTGTCTTCTGTTGCTACATGTCTATTCGGAGGGAGTGAATTCTGCTACTCAATGACTCGATGCGATCTGCTGGGTTTCCTTATATTAAAACTTTCACCAGTGCTAATAATAAACTGAACATGACTTTATTGGTTGATTAACTAGAATTAATTAGAATGGATGTATTAATGTTTTGAATTTCCTTTTTCATAAAGTGCCTTGAGATGACAAGTTGTCAGTTGGCACTTTGTTAATAAACTGAAGCAAATCAAATGTATAGCATGTAAGGCTCAAATTGTCCGCTTAACAGTCATTTACTTTAATCCCAGGACACAGTAAACATCACTTTGATCCCGGGACACTTAGGGATGGAATTTAAAAGCAATCTTTTAAATTCAAAGAGTCTTTTTTGCCCCGCTGCCACAAAATAAAATTTGTCTTCAGCCACAAAAAAGACAAATTTTAGTTTTAAAAAAGTAAATTAAAATATTTGTTTAAAGTAAATAAAACTAAAAGTTCTATTTTCAAATTTCATCACAAAATGAACCATTTAAAGTTTACAAAGAGAAAAAAAACTATTAACTACTAGTTGTGAAATACGACCAGGTGAGTGATGCCTTTACATAACAGAAAGATGAAATATACACAGTCCAGTTAAAAATATAAAGGACATAACTTGAAGCTAAAACAATACTTTTAAAATCGTCAAAGGATTGCTGTCCTTATGTTGTAGGTTAAGGGTGCTCAATACGTTGATTGCGGTCTACCGGTAGATCGCGGGAAGGTTTTGAGTCGATCTCAGCAGCAGGCGTCCTGAAGGCCACCAAAATGCTGAAACCAGCACTTCTGACAGGCTTATCAAAATATTCACTAAGATCCTAAATGTTTGTAGCTTCATTAAAAAGTAATAATAATAATAATAATAATAAAATCAACAAAACATGTTAAAATTAATATTCTCAGTAATAAGGTGCATTCCTGTTAGGTTTTTATATAAATACAAATATAAATATTCAAGATTAGAAGACTATAAGAGTTGAGAAAACTTTGTTTGCCCCTGGGATCTGTGTTGCTTCTGTCTTTGAAGGAAGCAATGAGTTTGTCACTTTGGAGACGGATGGCCAGGGTGACAGTTGGGTAATAGATCTAACAGTTCCAGATCTATTAACAAATAAAGAGGGACTCAAAGACCGACTGACGAGCAGAGCAGGAGTTTTAAATGGGCTAATCAACCACCACTCTGTTCATAAGAAGCTCATTAATAATAGATAACTAAAAATCAAGTCTGAAAACCTGATATCGTAACGGACTGAATGTTTTTAATGTAATCTTTGCTCGGCTTGCTGGGTGCAGGTGGTTACCAAGGCAATGGGCGCTTTTAACGACACAGTGAGACGAAGAGTAAAAAGGTACGATGGTATTGAGTTGATCACCTGTTCGGGTTGTTTTTTACCTTTGTTTACCTTCGCTGTGGTTCATTACAGCCGCTGGAGTTTTCTAAATGTTCAATAAATGACAAACTTGGACTAATTACCTCGTTCATTTGCAGTAATATCACACCAAACATCAGATAGGACAAATATATTTGATAAAGTTTTAAACAAATGGCTTCCACCACAATGATTATGTGAAATTAAATTAATTATATCCCAGATTTAGAATATTTGCCTTTACCTCTGCAGAGCTCTTTGGTTCCTCCTATCAATCTGTAGTTTCTCATATTGACGTCATCAAACCAAATTTCAGATCTACCATAACTGACTGATACCTGATGGCCTCAGGTTTACAACCAGCTTCTGACTGAGAAACCAGCAACCTGCTTCCAGTGTCTGAATCTCACTGAGGAAGAAACTGCATTAGGTTTTCCATCACTTTATCATTTCTGATATAACTGATGGATATTCGTATAGAAAATGAGCCAATAGGGTTTCATTTACAATTTTTATGTCTTTGTGTCATGAGGTAGATCTCAGCCGGCTGGTGAGAGAAAAAAATTATCTTGGTCTCAAAATGTTTGAGTACCCCTGTTGTAGATACTTTATGCAGATATTGCAAGTGTAATTTTAGCACTACCAAAGCAGTGCTTAGCGGTGCTAAAATTACACTGTCTTATTACCTTTATAATTCAAGACAAATTCTTTATTTTGTTTTGTTGTGAAGGAGTCAGAGTGGAGGAACCAAAGGGCCACTTGTGGGTCTGAAGCCTTAGCTTGCAGACCCCTTAGCGAGACTGAGTTAGTAATAAATACACATTCCTTTCAACAAAAATAACCATTTATTATCTGTGTTTATCTTACCTGATGGTTGTGGTAGATGAATCTCTGCCAACATTAAATGTGTGCTCTCCTTCACTGATCTGTTGAGACCAGTAAGGATGCAGCCACACCATGTAGCTCAGATGACCAGCATATACCATAGGCATTATCCAGTTTTCTATACTCAGCTCACTAAAAGACAAAAAATAATAAAACTTTTATCAAGTGTTCATATATTTGAGCAGATTCAGCAAAATGAAGGTAAGAGAAAAAACACAACCCTTTGAACAACAGGCTTGATTCCTTTCAAAGTTTTTTAAAAACAAATGTACCAGTCTAAAACTCAGTTAAATGACATTCGTCCCTGGTGAAATGATTCAGTCCCCTATTTGTCTGCTTCCAGTTTTTTCAGGGATCAGGTCTTGAGGTTTGCCAAACTATTAAAAGGTGTCAAAACTTTTTAAAACATCTTCACAGCTCTTAAGAAGTCTGCACTTACTTAAAACATAAACTTGTTCTATGATAGCCAAGAACAAATAAGGGACATGTTCAGTTTTTTACATGTGCCAAACCAAAATGTGTGCATCTGTTCAACTCTCAAACTGCATGCAAAAAGAGGTTCTTTGTTTGGATGAACAAACTCCTACCCAAGATCAAGAGGTTGTTAGCAATTGATCAGTAGCGCACTGCTGGCAGATATTTAGTGAGGAAGAGAACACACTTGCTGTATGTCATGTAAGTCAACGCAAAGTTATTGAACACAAACTGTATGGGCAAAATCCTTATCCTTTGCTCTACCTGGGTTACATTTTGCATTGCAGTGATCTTTCCCTGGTTTCAATCAAATGAAGGGAATGTCTAACATCGTCCTGAGTTTGTTGACAAAATCAACTTGGTCCTCATCAATCAGCTCTGAGAAAACTTCCTCCAGCCTTTTGGCCAAGACAGTTTTATTTGTAATCTTGGTTCACAAATAATATAGGTCTATATGAGCTGCAGAATGTTTTATTGCCTCTTTTGGGCCTGAAGCAGTTATAACAGTTACAACTGTTATAACTGCATAACGATGGCGGTATTGTCATTTTTACTTGAGTCCATTTTAATGGCTTTCATTATATGAAGACAATTCTTCTTGAAACGCCTTATTCTTCTTAGATGGCAGACCATCTGTTCTGGGTGTTTTGTTGTATTTTTTTACCACTAGCATCAAGTTTGTTTTACACTGTTTTAAACTTTTGTTCTGTCAGTGTCCAATTGTTGATTAGTCTAGTCAATCAAGAAATATTTTAAAATTTTTGTTTCGGTTTTACGTATAATATTTTATAATACATTTGAAAATATTTGTCAACATTTTCTAAACTACTTCCTGTCTCCGGGTTAGTTATTGAACAAACTGATTGCATAATTATTATTTTACTTATTTATTTAGGTGCTTTTTTTTGTTTGTTTTTTTTACAAATTTTTGTTGCAATTGTTTTGTTGCCTTCTGTTCTGTTTCATAGAAGGATTCTTTCAGGAATCTATATATTTTCCTTTTACTTCTCCTTCTTGCACTGAAATGTGCCAATATATTTGAAATTTGTTTCTCCCAACTGTGAAAACAACAACGTATTATTCTGAAGCTCTTACCTGAGGAGTTTCTCTTTATCAAACACCGTGTCAGCAGGCATGTTGACAGGAATAAGAAGGTCAGGATGGGAGTCTAAATGAACCAGTCTTATATTGTTGAGTGGAAGATGTCTTGATGCAATGGCTCGATAGATGTGATGAACCACCTGCAATAATATATAGAATTTACATACAATATTGTTTAACTATTGTCAAGAAAATTCGAGATCATCCCACTTCCCCATCCTGGATATTTTAGTTAACAGTAACAATGAATAAAGTTACCTTTAAAATTAGTCACACAAGTGACATTTAGATCCAACAGTAGACCCAGAGTTCAATAAAATAAATCTGGTTGTGTGTGTTGTTTTTGTCTCCTGCAAACTTAGCTTTAATTATACGTCTTTTCTCTATCTAATCATAAGAAATCATAGTCAGAGAGAGATGAGACAGGAAGAGCAGGTTTCCTGGAAAAAGAGGAAATAAGTTTCCAGCTTACAGCTGTATAAAAATAGCTGAGACTATTCCTTATTTAAAAGCATAAAAGTTTTAAAGGATGAAATCTAAACATTTTGAGCAATTAGATAAGATTTAAAGTAAAGTACTTATATTAATATTGGTTTACTTATAACAATACTTACGTTTACACTTATACTTGTGGGAAAACTTACAAGTAAAACAAGTTGTATCAAATAATTACAATAATAGATTATTCTTGGTTTCTTTTCAGAACATCTGTAATAACTCACATTATAGTAAGACTAATAAGTTGTGGTTGTCATAAAATTACAAATGAATGCTAAATCAAAGAAACAAAAAGGGTTATGAATGTGATTTTGACTTGAACTTGAAATGGTGTAAAACATGGAACTGCAATTAAAGATCACTGACGATGTGTTGGAGGTAGATAGTAGGTGAAAGGTTAGGGGTAAAATGGGGACTAACGGAAGAGCAGAGATGACCAACGCCTTATTTGAAGATAGGTTGTTGAACAACTTAAACGTTTCAAAGAAAAGACATGGGAGGAATGTTGAACAATCCTGAGACATTAGCACAGACATCAGGACATAATGTCTCAAAGACAGTGATGGATATGAGATCATCTGTCCAAGCAGTCAGCCAATGAAACAAGCACAGCAACAGTTTTAGCCAATGCAAATGCACCAAAAGGCTGGATAAACCCTATATAAGGGGAAGCAAAAGAGGAATCTTTGGTTGGATCCTCCAGGCAGCTTCAAGCCAAGACCGAGATGGACAAAGAACTCTGCAGCTGAAGAAGAGCCGGGGCCACAGAGCCGAAGACTGTCCTGCACATGGGGACCAATCCGTCAGCCCCGCAACATGTGGCTTCAAATCGCACTTCTCTCATCAATTGGGCTCAGACCCCAAAGACAAAGATGGGCTCTGTGAAAGATGTGCTCTGTGAAACTAGTTGGCTGCAGGCTGCTCAGTCTGGCTAATTCATAGGGGGAAGAAGGGTGAGATATCTGGATGTAGGCCATCAGAAACCAGGCGAATTCTTTCTTGATGCCAGTTCTGGATAGGGTAAATCCCAGCAGATTTGGGAAACTCAACTCACTCGTTAGAGGGAGAGCTGGTAGCACATCTCCCCTCTCAGAAGAGGAAGTAGTGACTGAGAGAGTAGAGAGTGAAGGAAGGGGGCAGGGAGTGCCGCAACAACGACACTATATAACATTTATCAAAACAAAGAAATATATAGTATTACTCTAATCTGTCACCATTTGTTAATTGTACAGATAAATAACCCATATATTTAAGTTGTGCCTATTGTATTGGTGGGATTGACTTTCTTTCTTACGATTATGTCTACATGTACACTTCCATATCCCCCTCACTTGGTTCTGATGGAGTTCAATTTCCTCACGGAGCGACAGTAAAGTCCATTTTTATTATACTCCAGACATTATTGAAGTAGTCGTTTAAATGGGTAATCTGTAAATTAGCCTGAACTTTCAGCGTCAATATTTTTGTTATCCTCTTCAGGGCTGAATATCTTAGTTTTCATTCAGTCAGTTTGACTTTGAAGGTTAAAGGTTTGTATTTCAACAGTCAAGGTACTTGTATTGAGCTTGTTTTCTTAGCATAAAGACATCTGGTACTATTCGACCAGTTCGGTTCTGCAGTCACTGACCGAATAAAAACATCCTTACATGGTGGTGGTCTTCCACTATCCACACAGGTAGCTTATCGTAGAACCTTTTCCGCGCCAAGGAATTCATTTCAGCATGAAGTTGTTTCCTTAATCAGATTGACTTGAGCAAGCTAGCAGTAAGTCATGCAAGTAACCGGAAATTCACGCAACAGTGTTTTTATCGCCGGTTAGAAACAAGAATGAAACAGAAAGGTTCTGTCACTGAGTCGTAAACAAATCAAATAATACTACAAAAATGAAGCATTTATAAATACAAAGTTTAACGTCTACAGATGGTTGTAAATAGTATGTAAAAAAAATATATATATAACTATTTATCAAAAATATGTCATTAATGTCCTCATAGAAACATTCGATATTTTATCAGGTATATTTAATATATATTTTGTTGTTTTTTGTAGCACTTTAGCTTTCCCTTTAAATTGTATCTATTTGCCCTTAATCAAATAACCTCTGTTTGTTTGTATGTAATGTTTTTATTGTATGCACAAATTGGTGAACAAATTATTTTTAAAAATCTCTGCAAATATGCAAAAAATAAATCTCAGTCCTAAATTCATATATTTAAACCCTACAATTATTTTCAATTGAAATAACTTTTTTTTCTTGTAATGTTTGCTCAATTATCCCTGGACAGTTTAAATTTAATGTATTTTTACATTTCTTAATAATATTGATTGAGAGCAATTTTTATTTTATGAAATTTTATTTTAATTCACGAATAATAATTTATAGAAAGTACATGAATTTCATTATTATCCAAGGTCACTGTCTGTTTGTAGCTGCACCTGGCTGGTTATAGCTACGCAAACACGTGCACATTCACATGCCTGTGCACGTGTGACTCAACACTCACCCAGAAACAAACTACCTGAATCTGTAGGTAAATTTCAAAAATTACCAGCAGATTCAGGAAACACTGCAGCCCTCAATGTAAGAGAGAAAAATGTTTTGTTGGGTTTTGTGAGGTCAAGGTGCTAAAGTGTTTATTGAATTCCTATTATCACCAGGTTTAACCTTGACAATTGCAAACGCCAAAGATAGGATAATGATCTTCAGTTTGTTTGACCTTGTAACACAGCAATCTCCACAGAAATTGACACATCATTGTTAGAGTTCTTTGCACTGATACACGTTTACAACTTTCCCATAGGATAGGCCTATGACGGCTTAGAGATATATGTCGATTATTTAAAATAAGGTAGTTAATTTAAGTAATAAAGTCATAAAAATCAGGCTTTATTTGTTCATCTTTGAAAACTTATCAGTGAGAGAAAATAATTGAAGTATACATCAAATGCAGAAATTCTAGTCTATTCAGGACATCTGGCTTGTTATTTATGATATAACATCATGTGAGGTAGCAAAAAAATCATATTGCTTTTACCCAAGCTTCACTCTGAAGAAGACAGAGATTTATTAATACATACATTTAATATTTCTACACAAATCTAATATATTTCTTTGACCAATCTAGTTTGTCCTATACGCCCTCATCTGTACTTTTGAGATGTCGTACAAAAACTCTCCCTCACAGTGACGTGCGGTCAGGGGAGCCTCATCTGTCTTCATGGAAAAATAATATATAATAATAAAATAATTTATATTGCTATTGTGGTTTGTACTATAAAGTACCTATTTTTCATTTAGCTTAACCAATTCTGATAATTTTTTCCTGAAAATTGCTGAATTTTCACATTTTCCCATTCAAATGCTCGGAAGTGGTGAGGCAGCAGCAGTGAGCCTCTCCCAGTATTGATCAACCTCTGGCTAATTGGAGGTTGATCACTGGCTGCATGCCTCTCTGTGAGAGCATGCTCCTCCTCTATGTACGTTGCCAATAAAATGGCTTAAAAACAATTAATATATGAATTTATTTTCCACAATTTAGCTTTAATCTGCAGTGTTTTTTTTTTTTGTTGTTGTTGTTTGTTTGTTTTTTTGTCATCAACTGTGTGTGTAACGTGATTTGTGTGCTGAGGAGCGATCAGAAACGGCAGAGAACAGATTCGTGGTGAGGCAGGCAGTTCTCTTGCCTCATGGCAGGGGGCGCTCATGATCCCAGATATTGTGACTCCACAACTGCAGAGTAAGAGACAGTAACAATGAGCTAGTCAATATATTTACCACATCAGTCACTTAATAATCGCACAAATAAACATTACGCCTAAAATTACTGAGTAGTACAATGTTTTTATTTCACAGAGAAACAGGTTCACTTTTTTAATTAAAATCAATTCAGTTTATTTATACAATGCTTGTGTACAGTTAGTCACAAGGCCGTTTACAAAACAGATAATCAAATATTACAAATTCCAAGTCAGGCACTCACATTTCAAATGGATCCTTGTTATTAAACGATCCATCTGTCCATCCATCCATTGATCCATCTACTTACTCTGAGGTTGGGCTGCAAAAGCAGCAGCCGAAGCAGAGAAGTCCAGACTTTGTGGTCCACAGCCACTTAGAAACACCATGGGATTCCCCGGAGGAGCTGACCTAAGCCAGTCAAGAAACATAGTCGAGACTTGAGACTACGGTAGTCTCAAAACTTTATACCAAAAGGTATAAAGTTCTGTTTCTGTTGCTGTCAGAGCTGGAGTGCTGTGTTGATCAGAGACTGTAGCTGTTAAAAGACCATGGGCCATACTTAACTGATTATGAAGTTTATTATGAAATAAGCTAATTTACTAAATAAACCTTAATAATGTCTGTTTGACCTCCATACCAACTTGGCTGCAGACTGCTATAAAGATCAGAAAAGCTGAGACTTTTTAACTCTACATAATTTTTGCTGTTAGCACCTCAGAGATCTAAAATTGTAAGACTGAGAGATATCAATGCAAAGACAACTCAGTCGCTGCCAGTAGGCCCCTTCAGACATTCAGGGACCCTTATTAATAGTTGAATTGTAACATAGACCATAGATCTAACACTTAAGCATTCATTTATTGAGAATGACAATGCTATTAGATTTTGTTCGTAGACACGGAGGGTTCTGGCTGAGGGGCTAGGATGTGGGGGCGTGTCCAGCGTGTCCCATGTCCATATAAACTCTATAAAAACATGCATCAGCACCACATTTGAGCAGTTAAAGACAGGAAAAGCCTGGAAATTTTCCACACCCCAATTTGAGTGTGGAGGGTGGGCAGAGGAGTGGTCTGTCTGGCCTGGGGTTGAGGCAGAGATTTTGGTTCTCCCAGGATCACTCAGATTTTGGTTCATGACTTCAGTGTCTGGTCCACCAGCTGAGAGGCTGCTGGATTTCAGCAGAGAGCAGCTTTGTGGGCTTCAGATCTAGGAGTGTGGCTTCACTTTGGTGGATGGTCTGGCTTGTCAACTATGTGCGTCATTAACGATGGGGGTGTGTTGTGGAATGGGGTATATCGTTGACATTTTTTGTACAGGTGTCCCGATACCAGATTTTTCCCAACCAAGTACAAGAAATTTAGTTTAAATACTTGTTGATACCAAGTAATGATATTGAGTCATTAATAAACACAATAACCTTTGAAAACAAACTTATTTTATTTAAAACAGTCTGACTCTCCTTTTTAAGCCTACAGTCTGCCTGACTGTGTTGGCAAATCATAAATAGAGCATGACACACCGGTGGTACCAGGTGCACAGTAGTACCACAGTCTTCAAATTACTAATTGAAGATTCACTTTATGTTAGAGTTTAGATCTATTGCCTGAGCCCAACTAAAAATTTGAACTGGATTAGTCCAAAAGTTTTGACTTTATGGGTCAGTCAGGGGAGAGCTTCTGAGGCACATTTAGTAAGCCTGCAATACATGCACAAAGAAAGCCAAAAGAGAATGTGCGTTAAAGTTGTGTTAATTTACTTAGTCTCTTAGTCTAAAGAGAACATTTGGTGGTTCCTGGATGTGGAAAGAAAGGTCCAGATGTTGATTAGTGTCTTGTTTCTGGAAAGTCTTTTAGCCCCCATCAAGAGAAATCGGGAGACTGCATAATGGCACCTGTACAGCAGTATCTGAAAGAAAGACAGTTATGCCTGTTTTCTACTAGCTGTACTTCAGCAGTCCAGCCTCGCTCCACTTTGCTTTATAGTGATAACTTTTCCAGACTGGGCTATAGGTCTGCAGCAGATCCAGATCACCTTCAGGTGATGTATGCCTTGTGCTGTGACTCGTATCTGTGCAACTGAACAAAAGTTGTTATTTTTCTGAGACTAAAGAAGAGAGAGTTGAGCTATTTTTTATAGCCTGATTGTTTTCTTCAAGTTTGTTGTTCATTTTAATGCACTGCTTAATTGTTTAATTACAAGAAATTACATCAAGCTATTTTAGAAGAATAGGATATCATATAATAGAAATATTCTTTATTGTCCCTCAGCAGGAAAACTCTGGTACAACACATATAAAACAAATGAAATACTCACATTTACACAAAAATTAAAACATATAAAAACTAATAAAGACAAAGTTGGAGCATAAAAATACCATGAAGTAATTGTAAAAAGCATTCTCCAATCCAAGGAATGTGCAACTGAGTAGGGTGACTTCAGAAAATGTGAACATGTTAGAGCAATAAAAATAAAACAAATTGATGTCTTCCATGGTTGTATGTGGGCTACCTGAGATCTGACTGCTGTGCATTGAAGAGTTCTGGACAAGAGGCTTTGCAGAGTAATCTAATGCTGCTGAACCACTGATGTGTCTTTATTTCAAATTCAAATCCAAAAATGCTTTATTAATCCCAAAGGGAAAATAAATGCTGTCTGCAGCTTCTTCAAATTGATAAGAACTTTTAAGGATGGTAATGGCTGTCTGCAGCAAAGGTCTCTTGAAACGGCTTGTACCACACTGAACCTGAAAGTGCCTCTAACTGAAGATACTCTGACTTCCCAAGACAGTCTAGTGAAGAGGATGGTCAGGGTTGTACATAATTTTCTTGATTTTATTAAGAATTCTTCTCCTGTTGGCCCACCTGAAAAAGCAGACAAGCACATGTCAGGATGTCAGGACCCCCTCACATCTTGACAAGGAGTGAGAGGGATCTAACAACCGTTGAGTTGGAGTTGATAATGCCATCATGCACCTGCTTCAACAAACCCACCGTCATCTGGACAAAGCAGGCAGTACTGTGAGGATCATGTTCTTCAATTTCTCCAGAACATTTAACACAATTCCAGGGTTTCCCCCAGAAAACTTGGTAAGCCCGGTGGTCGGGGCTTTGTATTAAAA